CCAAACAACTACAGAGAGACCCAAAACAACTACAGAGAGACCCAAACCAACTACAGAGAGACCCAAACAACTACAGAGAGACCCAAAACAACTACAGAGAGACCCAAACCAACTACAGAGAGACACAAAAGATCAACAAAGAAACTAAACTATGCTAAAGAGACACACACTACCACAACAAGATGCAAAACAACTACAGAGACACAAAACAACTACAACTACAAAAAACGTGCAAAACAACTCAAATGAGACAAAACTTCCACAAAGAAAACTAAACAATTACAAAGAGACGCAAACTACCAAACCAATAACAACTATAGGGGGACGCAAAATGACCAAAGAGACACAAAAAACATCTACGAAGAGACAAAACTACTAGGAGACGACGAGCAACGACACAAAGATGCAGCAGTATTTTGTGTTGCTGCTACAGATGTGGGGGGGGGGGGGTCTTCTACATGTGTCCACGGTCTCATTATCCATCCACGGCCGGTGATTAGAGAGTCAGATCTTTCCAAATCTGTGAACCGAGGTCAGCTGATAAGCGAGCGATGCCTCGGTGCTGACCAGACATGACAGCAGGCAGGACGCCGACTCAGCAGCTTAACAAGTGGAAACCACAGGAGGCAGAAAGCAACGCACTCAGGTAGAAGCCCAGAGACCACAACACACAACACCGACGGAAGGAAACACAAGCATTTATTGTCGTGTTGTTTGTCGAGACGCCGTCACGTCGTTTCCTGACAAACATGAAAACATAAACTCTCTCAACTGAACGTGCAGATATTTTCATTTCAAAGTTTGACTGACACAAGATGTCTCCACAAAACCTGTCTCTTCTTCTATTGTTTTCATGTTACGCAATGTCTGTACTTCATTCATGTCGTAGCTTTGATCAACTCACTGTCATTGAACTGTTTAATAATCAGATTATCTGCAGATTATCTGCTCTGATATGAATAAAAAGCTGCTGGATGAATAACGGCTTAAAGTTTCCACATCACACTTGTGAAAGTTACATGTTGGACCACGATTGGCTCCAAACTAGTCGTGGTGTCGCATCTTGTACGTAGATTAATGTTGAGCACAGAGAAACATCAGAATAACATCATCGTGCTTTTAACGGCTCACTGGGATGAATGAATAACTATTTACCTCCTTAGATTCTGATTAAAAGCCTGTTATCGAGGTAACGTTTTGGTAAATACATAATCCTCAGACAGGAGATCTTAACTTGAATGTTTAACGTTGACTTAGACTACATGAGGCCTGGTCACTGGAGACCAGGTGACCCACTGACCTCCTGGCTTCACTTTATTCTGTTGATCAGCTGATTGATGAGTGTTTATTTAGGTGTCATGGAACATCATGTGTGCTGCTAATCCGGGTCTAATGCTCAACAAGACCAGGGTTACATCGTTTCTGAGCATAAAGTCAGATTTAAGGAATTAATAAACAACATGATGATGATCACACAAATATAAAACCCCAATACAACTTCATACTTGTTATTTGTTCACTGAAGTGAATTATTCCGCATGATATAGATGTGTAATAAATGCTGAAGCAGATGTGTAATAAATGCTGAAGCAGACCTTTTTGGCGGTGTTGATCAGGGACCTGATGAGGTCTTTCACGTTGTGGGACTTGTCCCTCTGGAAGTAGATCTGCGTCTCCGACGGTCCGTACCTCGCCGGGGAGTCCGGCCAGCCGAGCTCCAGCATGGGCGGCTCGTCGTCGGACATCATCGGGAAGTAAGTCCCGGAGGTGAGGTCGGACACGGCGTCTCCGTCTCCGAAGTCCCGGTCGTTGGGACCGCCGCCGCCGCCGCCGCCGCCGCTGCTCTCGGAGGCGCACGTCTTGGCCGCTTGCTCGGTGATGTAGCGCACCTCCAGCGGGGACAGAAAGTTGAGCTCCCGCTCCTCGGTCAGCACCCGGCGGTACTCCTTCTCCCCTTGCTCCAGCAGGGCGTCCGTGGCCAGGCGGGCCGCCTCGTTGTGGCTCAGCTCCAGCGTGGACACTTGCCTCCACGGGTTCTTCACCTCCTCCAGCCGGGACGCCAGCTTGCCCAGCGGCTTCCTGCCGGACGCGGACGGCCGCAGCGCCTCCGAGTTGATCATGGTGCCGGGGTAGTCCGCAGCTCTGGGGGGTTAATGTTCAGCAAACAGGAGGTTTAATAAAGAGACTAAACTAGTTCCTGCTATCACAGCTGTGTGGAGACATTACTGCACAGAAGGAGACATATAAACAAATAAACTCCAGCAGATCAATACTCCAGCGGGTCCACGTCGATACAACACAAGCAGCTGGTCACCTTGTTTAAATATGTGTTAAAAACTCACAATAACTCCCAAAGTCCTTATCAGAGGGATGTTTCAACTGTTTCTGTTTTATGTCATCCGGGTTTTAATCTCGAGAATAATCCAAACGGCCCGGATTGGCTTCCTGTCCGAGGCGCTGAAATGGTCCTCTCTTCTCTAGTTCCTCGTCACGTCACAGTCTGTCCCACGAGCCGCTTCCTCAGTGTGTGTGTGTGTGTGTGAGAGAGAGAGAGGCTCACCTGTTGCTACCTGTCCTGTCATTGGTCTCCAACATGCTCCTCCTCCTCCTCCTCCTCCTCCTCCTCCTCCTCGTGTCCCTCCGTTGTCAAGCCAACCAGTTCACAGACAGGATGGCCAACTTCTGGTAAGACATTTCAAAATAAAGTGAGAAGGCGCACACCTGTTGGGTGTCAGTGTTTCATTTTACAGGTCTGTCATTTGATAATAATTATGTAAGTTCTTACTTATTCTGAGTAAAATGTGACTTTAATTGAAATAAACGCTCCATTTAAACGTGAGTAAATATGAATTCATCCTTCATTCCTTATTAGAAACTTTATTTTTCATCATAAAATGATTTGACAGACAAAAGAAGGTAATATAACAACAGAGGAATAAACAAAGCAAGAACAAATGAGGTAAAGTTTGAACGCTGATGAAAGAACAAACTAAGAAATACAATAAATGAATAAAATATCAAAAATAAAATGAAGCCGTACAAAGACGAGCCGGAGTGCAGAAAAACACTGTTTATGTTTTCCTCACAATACTGTAAAAATGACACATGTAGTGATTTCTGGGATTTAAAGATAGTTTGATCATTTACATGGTTCACAGTTGTGTTCATTATTTATTGGTGCATTTAAATGTTTGAGTTGCATCTTAAGTCAACAGATGCAATAACGTAAAGTCTGTAAAGATAACGCAACACAATAGATGATAATTTATAATAATAAAATGAATTACCAGTGATTTCCTTCAAATTACATCCAGAAGTGTTTCATGTAAAATCTGGACTTGAATGTTTTGTGATATTATTTGCAGGTAATTCGTGCAATCTCACTCACTTTACAATATAAGGCTCTTTATTATGATATATTATACGTGCTTTTATCATAATCTACAATGAGAATTAATGAATCAATGAGTATCAATCCACCTTTTTTGTAATAATTCAACTTGTTAATTCCTTTACTTGCATTTTTTTGTATGTGCTTTTATTTTGAAGGCAGCATAGCCTCACTTCCTCCGTCAAAAAACATAAAATCAACGCTGAGGGTACTTCTCAAGTCTCTTACTTGCATCCCTGTTTCCCTCACTTGGGTCAGAAACCTAATCAAATATAAACTAGTTTATTGTGATCCGTCTTCACTCTGGTGTTAAACTCAGTCAGTCAGTCCGATCTGCAGCGTCCAATCACATGACTGATGAACAGTGAGGGGGCGTGTCGGCCGTTAAAACACGACCTGGAAGTCTGTTCTCGTGGGTTAAATGGTACTCCTGTACTATAACACACACACACACACACACACACACACACACACACGCACCTCCATCTGCCATGTAGGGATGAAGTAATCAGGCAGCGGATGATTACGGTCTTTAGAGTATTATCCTTGTTTTCCTGCTCAATAACAGACCGAAGCTTTTATTAGTTTATATAATAATAATAATAATAATAATAATAATATGAGGAGCCTGAAAATGATCTTTATAAAACCCTTTCATTTAGATTCTGACAGAACTCCATCACGTGCTCTTTAAAGAAAGACAGTTTCTGCCCATTGAGACACTTCATCATGTAAATTATTGGAGACTTAGAGACATTTTAAAAAGTCAACTATAAGGTCACCAAGATAGTTCAACTGCAGCCATCAGGAGTTTACTGTTAATGATATTAAATCAAAAGTGTGTCACAGAGTTTTATTTATAGGAAACAGTGAATGCTCAAACTTACAGCAAATATCTAAAACTATCAATCAACACATAACTGAATCATAATAAAGCAGGTAGATGAACAGATTACGACCAGGACCCTCTGAAGCTGCTTTTCATGTTCATGTGAAATACAAGTTTTCATTACTTAATGCCAAATATTCTGCTCAATATCATGAAAAATATTACTTTAGTTGACTTATCTTTATGAATTAATGTTAGTTATTCTATTTTGCACTGCTGTTAGCATTACTTCTTCTACTCTTTATGTTTTTACTCAACTGTTTTCTTTTTCTAATTCTTCTTTTCTTCTTCTTTGTTTTTTAAATCAATCTCCGGCACAAGAATTTCCTTCGGGATTAATAAAGTTCCATCTCATCTGAGTTGATCTACTTCTGTCTGAAGTCCACGGACACGTTGTTTAGAACATTAATACATTTTGATGTTAATCTGCATTCAGCAGGTTCCTCTCCAGGAAGCTTCAGAAGAATTCACGTTCTGTTCTACAGAACTCTGAGTGAAGCTTGAGACCCGTAAGACAAAGTGTTCTCGTACATCGTGCTCTGTGGACGTCAGAGAGCCAGAGATCATTAGAAGGAGAGGATCCCCCCCCCACCGGGGAGCAACGCGACCAAATTAACAGAAGAACGTGTCTGAACTTGTCCGTCCTAAATGGTTTTTCTGTGTCAACGCTGAGGGCGGAACAGTCACAGAGTCCTCGCCCTGCAGAGGAAGAGAGAAGCACTTCCCCTCCAGGTACGACTTCACCGACGTCCGTCATCACTCGTAAACATCCGCGAGGAGTCCACGCTTAACGTGTGACTAAATATTGACCCAACAGGGTGGAGGTGCAGACGCACACACCAAACACCTCTACGATGCAAAAGCTCCCGACTGACATCATCGCTCTGCAGTGTTTGTATAAGTAGAATAAGCTGCTCTGTGCTACACTTAGCGTAATGAGGGATTTGGTTTTGCATACACTCAGGTCACGAGTGCTGGTGGAAGAATAAAGTCGCCTCAACGACGTTATCTCCAGCACGTTCGAGCTGCAGCCGAACCTTGAATGCATCCTGCTAACGTAGACACAGACACATTCAGGGCGAGAGGTCACGCAAAGTTTCTCTCTTTGCTCTGAACTTCCCTCCGCTCATTCAAACGTCGTGTTTCAGTGTCAAGTCCGTCAGAGAAGAGTCAAACCGGTGGTTCTAGTTCTGAATATTATCTGGACATCTTCAGTGCAAACAGAAGGCGGCCGTCCCGTCTGTCTGCACCACAGATCACACGTCAATCAAACCTCAAAGACGTCTCTTTCTTCAGAGTCCCTGTCACTGAAGCTCTTCTTCATTCTAACTGATGTGTTTCTCTCTTTGGATCAACAGGATTCTGCTCGTCAGCGTATTGATATTTACGCACGCATACAGTCTGCTTACAAAGAAGCAAAACATAAACTCAATTATTAATCGGTTAAAAAAGATGTTAATGAGCGTGCGTGTCCTTCTGAGGAATGACTCGATGACTTCCTGTTTGCAGGTGTGAGCGTTAGATACTCGTGGTCACATGTTGGAGGTGAGTCAGCTGGCGTCCAGCTGCAGGGAAGTCACTCTGACTGAGTCAGAACAGAAATGACTTCTACGTGAGTGTTTGGCAGAAAGCGACGACTCATGATTGTGTGGTAGAGACAGGAAGAAGTATTGTGATCTATTACGGAAGTAAACGCAGCAATAGATTCATGTAAATAATAGATTCATGTAAATATCGCCTTTACAAAGAAAAGTCCTGCATTCAAAGTCCAGAAGTAAAAGTATTCTCAGTAAAATGTCTCCTGTGGCTGATATGTGATATTTGATACTGAAGCATCAATGTTAGAGCAGCACGTTACTGTTACAGCTGTGGGTCCCAACATAGGGGTCGGGCCCCTCCAAAGGGTCACAAGATAAATGGTTAACCGGAGAGAAGAAGAATAACTAACTACTACTGTCTTCACTTTCTGAGTGTTCATCTAGTCTTAGTTCTAAGTGAAGCGTTGATCATCTGAACAGACATTTAAATGAAACCATCTCACACGTTTGGAGGGGAAACGTCTCTTTGGTGGAACAAACAACCCGAACGAGGAGCCGACACTGAACACTGTGTCTGCAAGAAGTCACAACCCCAAAAACGAGGCAGAGGCAGGGAACGCGGGGCAGGGAACGTGGAACGCGGGGCAGGGAACGTGGAACGCGGGGCAGGGAAAGCGGGGCACGGAACGCGGAGCAGGGAAAGCGGGGCAGGGAACGCGGAGCAGGGAAAGCGGGGCAGGGAACGCGGAGCAGGGAAAGCGGGGCAGGGAACGTGGAACGCGGGGCAGGGAACGTGGAACGCGGGGCAGGGAACGCGGAGAACAGAGTGACGAATATGAAACTCAGAAAAATCCCCAATGACTGCGACGTACGTGACAAACAAGTAAACATGAAGCAGGTGAGGGAAAGTTTACGCTGAAGGCAGGAGGAGAAGTGGAAGGACTGGTTTGCATCTTTGCATCAACAAGTGAAGCTTACATGCTGCCTTCATGCATGTTGTAAGTGAACATACAGCAGCATTTTCCCGTGTCAGCGGTCTCAGTACATGTGCTGTTCAGGTTGATACTGTGGAGCAGGTTCTAGGATTTGTAAAGACACACTGAAGCTGTTTGGCAGAACGTTTTCAGTAAATGCAAATGAAGTGAGGAGAGAAGCACAAAAGAGAAACATCAGAACAACGTGAGAATCCAAAAGGTCAGAACTGTGCAGACCAATCAAAATCTTCCTCCTACGGGGAACAACCTTTTATTCATGGAGCTGTGGAAGACAAACACGCACTAATGTTTAATATCATTGCATGCTGGAACAATTAGAGTTTCTCCTCATCAGAACAACAGGGATGCACACAGAGAAGTACGTGCACAGAACACAGCAGTGAGAGTTGAGTTCATGGTGGCAGTAAAGATAAGCATGATGTATGACCTAAAAACATTCACGAAGGCATTTAAAGGCTCCTCGGTTTGGATCACCATCAAAGTTACTTGTGTTTTATTGAATAAGTGGATAAGGACACAATGACAATAATCATAATTATCTGCTTGAACAGCAGACGGACTCCTGCACAAAGTACCGGAGTGTAATGTCACGTGGCTGTTTTCTATCTGCAGGATCGTCTTTTCATAACAAATGTAATTTGTCGCACTTTGAACACAGGAGCAGGTTTGTAAGAGTTAAAGCTCTGAATCCAGATAACGAT